TCCTGGGTTCAAGGTTCAATCCCCAGGACCACAAAATAGAAATAAAGAAATACATATGAGGTAGTGATAATTACTAAGAAAGGCACTAAATGGGGTAAGATGATCGATAAAGATAAAGGGTCAGAATTGGCAGCTATTTTAAATAAAGGGACATTTGAGCAGAGATTTGAAAGAAAGTGAGGAAAACAGATATGAAATCATTTGGGGAAAGCTTGTCCAAGTCAAGGAAGATCAAGTCATGTCAATGTGGCTGGAGAAGAAAAGAATAATAGAGCAGCCCAAGCTGGGGGTACTATATAGGCCATGATAARGACTTTGAATTTTACTTTTAAAGAAATAGGAGTTATTGGGCTGGGGATGTGGCTCAAGCGGTAAGGCACTTGCCTGGCATGCGCAGGGTTTGGGTTTGATCCTCAGCATCACATAAAAATAAAGATGTTGTGTCCACCGAAAACTGAAAAATAAATATTAAAAAAATTCTCTCTCTCTCTCTCTTTAAAAAAAAAAAAAAAAAAAAGAAAAGAAAAGGAATAGGTGGTAGCCCTTGGAACATTTTGAGTAAAGACATGGCAGGACCCAACTCATTTTTTAAAGTCTCACTGAGAGTAAGAGTAGGGGCAAAGAGGCTAGTGAGGAGTCTGATGCGATAAYTGTGTGAAGGGTGCCTGTGGACCATGCACAGAGAGGTGTGATAAGAAGKGTGGGAAATGGCTGGATTCAGGTCAGATGTTAAAGTTGACCAGATATGCTGACATATGAAGAAAATTTAAGGAAAATCCCAAGATGTTTGGGATGACCGACTCTTAATAGTCAATTTGCCTTTTACTGAGATGGGGAGCATTTGGGGAAGAGSAGGCCTCAGGGTAGAGGTCAGACATCTGTTATTGAGTGTGTTAAGTCTTCAAGGGATGATGCCCAAGAGRTGACTGATTAAATGAAGTTGGAGGGTGAGAAAGGGTTTGGATTGCAGATAGAAAGTCAAACACTGAATGAAGTCTCTGTGGAAGAGTGCAGAGAATAACAGGTCCAGAGCAGAGCAGCTGTATGCCCAAGAGGATGACACCATGGAAAACCAGCAAAAGAAAGAAGGACCACCATGGGCTGTCTCCTTACCAGAGCTGATCAAGCCTGGGCTCCCAGTCTCCAAAGGGAGAAGCAATGACCGATCAGTCAAATACCACTGACAGGCTGAGGAATGGGAACTGACCAGTGTTTAGCAACTCAAGATCACTGGTGATCTGGACAAGAGCAGTTTTAGAGGAGGGGAGTTTTTTTTATTTTTGAGTTTTTATTGAGTTTCATCATAAACTGATGCAGAAAAGAGGGCGACAGATGGAAGGGATGTGGGACCCAGAGAGGGTTTTTGTTTTAAAATGAGTGACATAGCATATTTGGCTACAGATAAGATTAAAATACATGAGGGGATGCAGGTTCAGCTCAGTGGTAGACCATGCACTTAGCATGCTCAAGGTTCAATCCMTAGCACCAAACCAAGGGGTACTTTATTACCATGCTTCCCCAATTTTGAGACAGAGACTAAGTTCTTGAGGGTCTCACTAAGATAATTAGACTGGCCTCCAACTTGTGATTTTCATGCCTTAACCTTGCAAGTCACTGGGATTTCTGGCATATGCCAACATGTGCAGCAAAGAGACTGTCTCATATTCCAAGTGTTATTGTACAACATGCYGACTATGGTTAACAATGTACTGTAGTCTTGAAGATCAATAGATTTTAAGGCTCCTCACTATAAAAACAATTATGTGAAATAATTCATGTTAACTAGCTCAATGTAGCCCTTCCATAATGCATACATGTATAAAAAGAGGATATTACACATGATGACTATGTATAGTTTTTATTTGTTTATATATATATATATATATATATATATATATATATATATATATAAGAGAGAGGTGTGAGAGAGAGATACACAGAGAGAGAGAGAGAATTTTTAATATTTATTTTTTAGTTTTCGGTGGACACAACATCTTTGTTTGTATGTGGTGCATGCAAGGCAAGCGCGCTACCGCTTGAGCCACATCCCCAGTCCTGTTAATATATATAAATAGAGAGCAAACAGTATTTCTGGARTGCTAGGCAAAAGAAAATAATTCCACAAGAAAAATGAATGCTGGAGTGACTTTCCAAGCAGGCTCACCTGTAGGCATGGGCTCACTTGGGGACTCGCCCAAGGCCTTGTCATCGCTGTCATTCTCACACAGGGCAGCAATTCTTCCTTTCCATTCATTTTTAGGGAGCAGTTCCACAACCACCACATCTCCATGAATGGAGCGGTTCCGAGCCTTCATGCCGTGGATTAGGATGTCACTAATTAAACCTAGGTAGCACACACAAACACCGGAAATCATTTCAATATATTTGAAGTCTAATCAGCATTCCTGAAAATAAAAACTTCCTTTCTAAGGTGAAGTTAAACTTCTTTTTGGAGGTTAAGAGTGAAGAAATGCTGCCACCAAGTCATACTGTACAGTGTGCTTTCATACAGACTACTTGATCACCTTTTAAAAAATTCTTCTTATTACCTTTCAAGGTAGGTATTAGTTCCTTGCATGTGGGCCTACACTGGAATTATGTGTGATACCTTCAGAATCTGCACAACCAAGGGGGCCACRGTCAGCGGGTTGATGAACTACATATAACTGCAGAACTGCCACTCTGACAAAGAGAAGCCCYCAGAAAGCCATTGCTTCTCAGTCTGCTTCCACCCAGCCCCACTCCTTGGAAGCTCAGGGTTTGGTTTTGTTTTTCCACTCTGGGATCACAAAATTAACCATATGGTACAATTTATTTTCACACTTTTTCATTTTGATTACTTTTTAGAAATGATTCAATGAGACAATATAGTACATTGAGGAAGACAAAGGAATGTCTGAGTCACAAACTGCCTTCATTCTAAGTTAAGCTCTACCAATGACCAGGTGTGTAGCTCTGAGCAAGTTACTTTGCTTCTTTGTTTTAGTTTATTACAATAAAACCAGAAATAAGGGGTACAAAGATAGGAGGAATAACTTCTAATGTTCTGTAGTGCGATAAGGTAATTATGGTTAATAACCATAAATTCTATGTTTTAAAACAGCTGGCAGAATTTTGAATGTTCCAAACACAAAGAAATTGTAAATGTTTGAAGTGATGGATATAACAATTACCCTTATTTGATTGTTACACATTGTATACAATGTATTGAAATATCACACTGAAAAAAAAAA